TAGGACTTTGGGTTTAGAGTTTAGGGTTTGGGGCATAGGACTTAGGGTTGTGGGTTTAGGGCATAGGACTTAGGGTTGTGGGTTTAGGGTGGGTGGAGCATAGGACTTCGGGTTTTGGGTTTTGGGTTTAGGGCATTGGGCTTGGGGTGGCTGCACCAGGTACTGACGCCCATGGTTAAATAGAATGGATGTTCGGAGAGTGATGATTGCCTGAAACAGATGCAGTAGAAAGCAAAACAACTACACATATCAGGTCTTTCGGGTTTCTTAGTGTCGTTACAATATGGTACACACCCGAACAGCCATTCTAATAGGCAACCCCAAGTACCCTTTCTTCGGTCGGAATTTATTGCAACAGGGACTTCGAAGGTGACGGAGCTTACATCAATATGCATGATGTAGGGTTCGGGGCTTTAGCTCTGACGAGGTAGACATTAGGCGAAACCCCAATGCTTTGGAGGACCACTTGTCGAATCTGCGCGTGGTTGAGCCACAGTGGTTCTCCATCGACCGGCGTCCCGCCGTCAGGCGGGAAGTGATGCTTAGGGCTTTGGATTTACGGCTCAGTCTGACCATGTCATGTGGTGAGTGCTGCAGCGCAAAGCCAGGCTGTGGAAATTGCACTTGTCATCAGTTCCAATAGCAGGTGCATCACGTCCTGTAATTGCGAGGCACTGCTGCAGCAAAGTAGTAGCTGCAAGACAAACAGAAGTAGAAGTAGTGCGAGCGGGAGAAGGAGGAAGAGTAGCGGAAGAAGTGGTAAGTAGTAGTAAGTGCACATATATATATAGAGAGAGAGAGAGAGAGAGAGCTATCGACAGATAGAGAGAGTATACGTACAGTACAAATATAGCCTTTTACGTACATATGTGCAAAGTCTGTAAGTACTTTATGGATCATGGGACGGGTTATAAACAAGGTAGCTCTACTTATAAATACTTAGAACCTCAATTAGGGTACTTATAGCCTTACTTGCTAAGTCCAATGATCTTCCAAGTAGACTCGTAACCCTAACTAAACCATAAACCCTGTAGATTTTCTGAGAGAGCCCTTTACGGAGCCTTTAAAGGAACCCTTGAAGAAACTAAACCCTAAACCCTGAAGGAGCCCTTTAAGCTACTAAGGCCCATGCTCCCTTTAAGGAGCCTTTCAGGAACCCTTTGAGGTAACTAAGTCCCGGGTTTCTTCCAAGCAAGCCTAAAGCCCCCTACAGATCCCTTCTTTAGGGTTTAGGACTTAAGGGTTTAGGGCCTATAGGGGTTTATGACTCAGGGTTTAGGGGCCTTTTAATAAGACAGGTTTCCTAAACCCTAAACCCTGGTAGGTTCCCTTAGAGAACCCTTTAAGGAGCCTTTAAGGAGACTTTAAGGAACCCTTTGATTCAGGGTTTAGGGACCTAAACCCTAAAGCCTAAACCCTAAACCCTAAAGCCCTAGAGCCCTAAAGCCCTAAACCCTAAACCCTAAACCCAGGATTCCGAGCTCAAGACCCTCACCCCAACTTGGACTTTAGGGGTTTAGGGCTTTAGGGGTTTAGGGTTTAGGGATTTAGGGTTTTGGGGTTTAGGGTTTAGGGCTTTCGGGCTTGAGGGCTTTAGGGGTTTAGGGTGTAGGGGTTTAGGGCCTTAGGGCTTTAGGGGTTTAG